TACTTATTCCACTTATTACAGCTCAGCTATGCCTAGAAAGAGTGGGTATCTTGTTTTTTTTTCTAGAGTTTTCACCTGTGTATTACTTATCTATTACTGCATAACAAAATAACCTAGAACTGGGGTACCTGGGTGGCTCAGTCAGTTGAGTGTCTGCCTTCAGCTCAGGTCATGATCCCAGGGTCCTAGGATCAAGCCCCACGTTGGGCTCTCTGCTCAGCGGGGGTCGGCTTCTCCCTCTCCATCTGCCCCCGCCCTGCTCTTGCTCTCTCTCAGATAAATAAATAAAATCTATAAAACCCAAAATACCCTAAAACTTAATAGTTTAAAACAATAATAAACATTATCTCATAATTTTCCGGTCAGGAATTTGGGAGCAGTTTAGCTGGGCAGTTCTGGCTTGGGGTCTGGCAACATAGTTACAGTCCCGATGTTGACAAGGACTGCAGTCACCTGACAAGGGCTGGAGGATCTGCTGCCATGGCGACTCACTCAGCTGATTGCTCCTTGGTGCTGTTGGTGAGAGGCCTGTTTTCCATATGTGGGCCCCTTCACAAGATGGCCTGAATGTCCTTCTGACATGGTGGTTGGCTTCCCCCAGAATGAGTAATCCAAGATGTTAGGGAGCTAGGCAGAAACTATCCTTATTATGATCTGGCTTCAGAAGTTACATAGAATTTCTTCTGCCACATTTTCTTCACTCGAAATAGGCTAGTAAGTAAGACCCCCATTCAAGGAGAGTGGTATTAAATATCACTATTTGAAGGGAGGCATATCAGAGAATTTGTGGACACATTTTAAAACCACCACCACCACACACACACACACACCACAAAAAAACCCCACCACAATTATTAGGTTACAGGAAAAAAAAACCCTAAGTGTCTAATTCAGTTTTGAATATAGTTCAATTTCATTATTTAAACAATTCCTTTAAGTAGTTTAAGTCTCCTTTGGATAAAAATGTTTCATGTTTCATAATGCCTCCCAAGGAAGTCCTGCATCTTTCTCTAAAGATAACATCGTTTATATGGGGGGTGGAGAGCGGTAATGTACACATCCTTGTGGAAGAGAGAGATGGTGTCCCCAGGTTTCATTCTGGACCTAGAGTATGTACTGGGAGTTTTCTGGCAAAATACCTCTTGTTGGCCTGATCACTGAGGAACTTGCTGGCCTGTGATGCTGAAACCTGCAGTTGGTGAATTCATGGCCCATTTTTGGCTTGGAGATTTAGGCAAATCTCCCAGGGAGTATTGGCTACTTCCCCTTGTGGACTCAGCTGCCCCTTGGCCCCTGCTGTGGAGTCACCTCACCTGGCCATGGCAGCCCCCCTGGCTGTTAGTTCAGCATCCATGCTTCAAGGGAACAGGAACAGCTTAGGATAGTTGACTGCTCTCTTTCTCTGTCTGACTGCACTGTTGGAGACTTGCCATTGGCCCAAACAGCCATGGAAAGTGCAGAGAGTGAGGTATGAGGGGCCTGGGCAGTCGTCCCAAAAGTACCAATTACCTCAACATGGAGGTAACTCATTTGTATGCAGAATAAGGGCCCCATAGTGATGTCCATGTCCCAATCCCTGGAACCCAAGAATATGTTACCTTATAAAATAAAAGAGACTTTTTGATATGCTTAAATTAAGGGCCTTGAGAGGGGAGATTACCCTGGATTATCTGGGTGGGCCCAATCTAATGACATGGGTCTTTGAAAAACCTTTCCAGGCTGAGGCCTGAGTCAAAGGCAGATGTGACTATGGAATAATGGTTAGAGAGGTACAAAGTTGTTGGTTTTAAAGATGGAGTAAGGGGGCTATGAGCCAAGGAATGTGGGTGGCTGGAAAAGGCAAGAAAATAGATTTTTCTCTGTAGCTTTCAGAAGGGAATGCAGCCCTTCCATCACCATGATTTTAGCCCAGTTAAGACCCATGTCTAGCCTACAGAACTGTAAGATGATACATTTGTGTTGTTTTAAGCTACTAAGTTTGTGGTGATTTGTTATAGCCACGGTAGAAAATGAATACACTCAAATCCAACTTTGGCCCAGAAAGAGGTCAGGCCTAGTTTCCTGACAGCTTTGTTCTCCTTTATCCCTTTCTTTCTCACTAAACCTAAGCTGGAAAGGGAGAGACTCCATGTGGCATGTCCTTGTTCTACCATAGGGCAGTATTTATTACTTTTTCATTCAGCTGACAAAGTTTAAAGATAAGTACAATATTAAACACCCGTATACTCTTCACCTAGATTTCACCAATTGTTAATGTTTTGCCATATTTACTTGCCCTTTCTGTATATGTACATACATATATTTTCTTGTTGTTGAATGGTTTGAGGGTAACTTGCATTTGTCTTGATACTTTTTCTTGAATATGTCAGCATTTCCTAAGAATAAGAAAATTCTCCAATAAACGACAATTCCTTTTTCCCACCTAATATAAATAACAATTCCATGATATTATCTAATACCCATTTCATAATGCGAATTTCCCAAACTGTCCCAAAAATATTTTATAGCTACTTTATTCTCTCTCCCTCCCCATTTAGCATCTCAGCAAATCCTATGTTGTGATCTCTAGTCTCTTTGAATCTGTAACAGCATACCCTGCAAACAGCACACCTTTTTAATTTTTATTTCATGACATTGACTTATTATTACTAATTTTTTTTTAGAGCATGCAAGCGGTGGGGTGGGGGCAGAGGGAGAGGGAGAGAAAATATTAAGCAGGCTCCATGCCCAGTGTGGAGCCTGACATGGGGCTCGATCTCACAACTCTGAGAATCATGACCTGAGCCAAAATCAAGAGTTGGACGCTTAACCAACTGAGTCGCCAGGTGTCCCGTGACATTGACTTTTTGATACGTCCAGAGGAGTCCCCTTGTAGAATATTCTGTATTCTCAGTTTGGCTGATTATTTCCTCATATGTCTTACAACTTGTTCTCCAACCCCTGCCCTTTTTAAGAAACTAGACATTATGGATAGAAGTTTGATTAGACTCAGATTAAACATTTTTTAGAAAGAATACTTGATTAGTAATGTTGGGTAGGTCACATTGCTTCGTGTTAGGCACATAATTTCAGGCTGTCTTACACTAGTGGTGATAAAATTCGGTCACCTGGTTAAGATGGTGACCCCTACCCACTTCCAGTCTCACCATAGAAAAGGATACTTTTCCCTTTGCAGTTTGCAAATAATCTACAAACAACCTGTTCTCAACAACAACTCATTTGATAGTTTGAATACCCATTTTAGTCCTTGCCTGAATAGGTTATTTCATTGGGGGGCTACAAAAATGGTGCCCTAGCTATTATACTCTGTATTTATTAGCTGGCATTCTTCTGTAAAAAGAGCTTTCTTTTAAGAAAACTATTTTAATGAATCTCTCGGTGGCCAGTTGAATAGTGGTTTGCTTTCAGTTTTGTTGAAAGCAATCAGAAAACTCATGATTTTTAAAAGGATTTGTTACTCAATTTTGGGGGTTGGTCACTAATATCTCAAGATCATCCCCACTATTTCCAGTTGTTCCTTCGGTTCCCAGGAGCTTTTTAAATTCAGGCAGTGCACCACTGTAGGATTTGAGGTAAAGGTGGGTGAGAGTTTACCATTCTATGATAAAATAGAAGGAAAACTAGTAGGTGGGAACCAAGAATCAGTATGGCATCCTGACTGCACAGGTTTTCAGGAAGATCAGCTTTAGAAAGCATACTTGTGGAAGTTGAGGGTCTAGAAATTAGTTCCCATAAAACTGGCTGCATGCTCTTGGAACTCTTGGAAAGTTTTTGTCTGCCCCAGTCTCAAGACCTCTCTAGAGTACCAAACACTCTAAGCAAATTCTCCCATGTTTGGTTGATGACAAGTAAAAGCATAAATAAAGGAATTTCAAGAATGACTTTCAAAAGAACAGCCTGGATTTCAAGGCTTTTGTCTTGCTGCACACTCCTGTTTTGAATTTCAGAAGCTGAATATATTAATTCCTTCTTTCTTTCCATTCCTTTTGTAACTTGAAACAGTGCCACACTCCCTATTTCCAAGGCAAATTGATTCCCAGGCAAAGGAGAAAAAAAAAATCACATAAATCATTTTCAAAATATTACCCCAATTACAAGTATTGTGGAGTTTTGATGGAAGACACTGTCTTTTTATTTTCTTCCAAATGACCAGAAATAAGTTTGGTGATTACAAATTTAAGATTTTTTAAGCACAATTAGTATATTACACCACATGTTTAATAATATTCTGGATTATGATTCCTTAAAAAATTATTATTATTTTATCATTAAGCCATAATGTACCCATGCAATCATCCTAAAAGGAATGAATAATTTGGTCTTTTTTTTTTTTTTTTTTTTGTGGTCTCAAGTAATTTGAAGCAATCTTTTTGATTTCTCCTGTTGGAGGCCCTTAGTAGTGAATCACGTTACATTACATTTGACAACTTATTTTAGTCTAGTCCATTATTCACGATGCAGAATAGTATAGTATAGTGTGCCTGCTCTGGAGTCAGATTAAATAGTTCGAAAGCCTTGTTCCCACACTAACTAGCTGTGCAGTTCGGAGCACATTCCTTATCTTCTGGAAGCCTCAGTCTCGTCTATAAAACAGGAGAGATCATTGTAGTACCTGTCTCATGGTTTGGTAGGAGGACTAAGTGACATGTGCTAAACACCTGGCACATGGTACATATTAGCTGTTTGTGTTGTTGTTATTATGGCTAAGAAAAGGGAGATGATATCGAAGTCACCATCCTGCTGGCTCTCTAAGAATTTCTTCAGACACCTATCTAGCTTTCCTGATAAATGAATTTTCTGAAAGCAGCAAGTATCAGAATTAGCAGAGTTGCAATTCTCTGTGAGTCTTATATAGAAAAACTGGAATTAACCTGACTCTTCTCCTAAAATAAAAGAAGTAATTATGTCTTAAGCTGTGAATGTTAAGCCAGGAAGGAACTTTGATTTCTTGAAATTATACTCCAGCTCCCCTGTGCAACCTCTTTTTTTTTTTTTTACAGAATTTGCATTCCTGCACATTGAAAGTATTTCTGCCTCCAAAAATAAATATTTAGAATTGCCATGGTAAGGACTCTGAGTTAGAAACAACCAGTTCTATGACAGTCTCATGAGACAAATGTAGAGCTAGCTTAAATTCCTGATTTGGGGTAGTCCAAATTCTATCTAAAGGATTGACCTTAAACTAGTCTAATTTATTTTTATTCAAAATGATTGAGCAACTCACATTAAAAAATATTTGTCCTTTCTCCCATAACATTGTAAAGCATTCGCAAATTGTTCCTTGTGTCAGCAGTCAGGTGTGGTTCTGAAGTATCTCCCAGTTAAGGCTGTTGGGACTTGGAGGGAGAAATCGGCTCCTGTGTCCTTTCCCCCTCCTCTGGGATGGCACTCCACAGTCATTCTGTGAAGCTGGCATTTTCATTCAGTTGCACCTAACTGGATCTTTAGGGGAAAGAAGCAGTGGAATATGGAGGGAGTGACCATCGCAGTGTCCATACTAATTTCCAGAATCCTTTTAAGATTTAGGGTCAGCAACAATTAAGTAAGGAAAGGGCCCATTAGGTAAATTTGGCTCTGAAAATGCTAATTGAAAGTCCTCCTCAGCCATTCAGTCCTTCTCCCTCTCCCTTTCTTTAGTCAGCAGGGTCCCATGGTGACCGGTTCTGAAAGAAATCATCCCCTTCAGCAGTTACCTAGCACCATGGCAACAGGGACGTCAGCAAAGCAGGATAGACCCTGCACAAAACAGCTTCTACCAGGCTCCCTCCCTGCCTCTCTAATTCAACCCTGCCGGAGGCCTAGGAATGGGGCTAAGGACATCTTGACATACACACTCAAAAAAATCCTAGGTGTTTCTGTGTTTTGTTTTGTCCATAAGCATAGATATATGGGCATATAGTAAACTATGTTATGAGAATTTCCCCTCCCCCCAAAACATGGAGTGTATCTAAGGGGTGGAGTTGGTGGGGTAGAATGGGGACTGGGAGGGAGGTAGGCATGGGATGGTCTTTGGGTTTAATGAAACGTAAAAATTATATTTATGTTTATAAGGTAACAATAAGTTGATAGTAGGGGAAGTCAGAGCCCTAATTATATGGCCTGACTTATATTTAGACACAAGACCTCAGAGAAATATTTTTAAAATATTTTTATTGACCTGAGAGTGAAATAGACTTTAATGAACGCTTGAAGGGGGTGTAATGCTGTCCTTGGTGCTGAACACTGTTGTCTCAGACGTGCTAAGGGGGCTCCAGAGGGGAGTGCGGGAGCACCTTGTCATGTTAGGGTGTTGATGATAAGAAAGAAAAAAGAGGCTGGGAAGAAAGTATCATTCCCCTCCCTACCAAGCAACTCTGAACGTCCAGAATAAAATGTTCAGATGAAAAATAAAACCAAAAAGAACGTGGAGAAGGCTGGAGGTTGGATTGAATTTTCTCCTTTTCATAGGGAGATTTTTGGTCAGAGCCAATCAGGTCAGAGATTTCTGCTGCTTGGCTCCTGAAAGGAAAAGTGGGGGAAGGGAGATAGAAGATGGCCACATTCTCCCCTTGAGCCACATGACCCATTTCCCATGTGACACATTCCAGAGCCTTGGAAAGGAGGAGGGAGGGGCACCAAGAGAGTGGGCTGGGGGCGGGAAGATGGTTTGACAGTCAACCCGCACAGCGTCATCTTGTCTTCCTACCAGGAAGCAGGCTATGAGCCAAGGGGAAGGCAGAGGACAGAAATGAGTGTGCTCCCAAGCTTTCCTGGTGGTATATGGCATTCTCCAAAGTGCTATGCACGCGCTGCTCCTGACCAAGAAGACCCAAGGGGGCCATCTCTGAAATCAAGTCCAGATGAAGGTATGTGCTAGGGATCCCGTGGTATCGCGGCTGAAATCTGGCTTACAGGACATAATACCTTCTTTTTTCCAGGCAATTTGGAGATTTTTGTCCTGGCTTAGATTTGGTTAGGGGGCTTTAGATTTGTTACCGGTCTAGAAGAGCTGCTTAGATAGTTCTGTAAAATGAATGATTCGCCAGAGCAAGTGCCTGTTGAAGAAAAATTGATGGAAATTGTGTGCCGTGATAATTAATAAAACAAAGCACTAATTGATGAAAATGATTTTTTTCTTTGAATCTTGGAAAGAGGAAACAAATAATATTACTGAAATCAACTAAATTTCATTGTCACTGCAATAAAATCCTGTCTCCCTTTTCAGTTGCTTATTCGGTGTGCCCATGTCCCCAGAGGTGATTGGCGGTGGCTTAGGGAGCCTGAGTGGGCAAGCGTGCTGTTTCTTTGTGCTGTGCAGTTGTCTGCCTTCGGGTATTCCTGATACCGGGAGAGCTCATGATTATTTCCATCTCTTGTTTGGGATAGTAGAGTGCCACTGACTTCCAAATCTTACAGAATAGCTATCGAGAAGGCTCCCAGGAAGTTCTCAAAGGAATCTTCCAAAGTTACAGGCTAAAATAATCTGCTATGTACTCAAATCTTGGTATCTTTGACCATTTCTACCCAGCACAAAGAGGGAAGCTAGCAAATTTAAATTTTATTTCATCTTTAACAAATATTTAAAAAGGTCTTCCTATGTGCAAGACATCATTATAAGCACAAATAGTCATTTAATCCTTATAATAACCCTCTGGGGGAGGTAATAGTACTGACATTTTGGTAATGAAGAAACTAAGGCACAGAGAAGTTAGGGAACACTCTCAAGATCACACAGCCAGCAAATACTAGAAACAGGATTTGGACCCAAGAAACTTGACCCCAGAGTCCATGATTTTAACTACTAACCTATGCTGCTTCCCTGCTTGTGTTCTTTCAAATTATGTCAACAGTTGATTGGGCTACAAATTTTGTTCAGCTGACGCTACTAGAAGATCAAATCAGCTTGCCTTGCTGAAACAGATCCCCAGTGGAATCTATGTTTAATCTTAAATTATCCCAATAGTCACCTTCTGTACCCCCAAATAACCCAGTAAGTAATTGCCTGTTCTTCTCTTCCCTTTGTGCTGTATAGATATCTGGTAGTAAAATACTGTGTTACTATGGTGACCAAATGATGTCCAAAGGCAAAAAAGAAACCTAATTACATCATGGTTGATTTTTTTTTAAATTGAACTTAACATTCTTTCATTCTCTGAACCTTAGTAATAATACCAGCCTAAACATACTGTCTTTAAAAAACACTTACTTGGTTTTCAAAATAAAATAAATAGATTAAAAACTTTTTAAAATTATGAATACAAACTGTGGTATCGAACAGACTGGATCTGTTGCTTTAAAATAATATTACCATACTTCAAGGGAATGGATTACTCTCTTTGCAAATTATATTAGGTTTTTAAGGGAAAAAGGAATTTTTTTCTTAACTTCTAGAAATTTCTGAAATATAAAGATTTCTTCCTTTTGGTCTGTGGAGTTTCCCTTCCAGCTCTTGACAGTAAATGATGACTGACCTCAATCTTATATGCTATGGGAAAACTAAGGGAAATTACTAGGTTAAAGATAATAAGGAGGAAGAAAAGGGGTAGAAATCAAAAATTGTGAAATTCTTTACTAAATGAGGTATTTCCCTTCAGGGTTTCACTGAAGAATACTTTGAAGGGTGGTTGTGTCCCCTACAATACTGAACTTCAGTCTTTTATTTTAAGCCCTGGATCCCTGCTGAAATCTGTTTTCCTGGGACAAATACCACGTTTACACTATTATAGTCACCTGAAGTGAGCTTCTTGAGTGAAGGGACCATATCTTCCATCATTGGGTTTCTAGCACTTAGCACCAGGCCTGGTGTATCGTAAGCTCTCGATAACCATTTGCAAAAGCTCTGAAAGCATTCTGCTGGGGCCTGTTTGGGGGCCCATGTCTATTTTGTTCTGCATGTACTTATAGGGAGGACAGTGAAGAAGTACATGTATAGTGGGAGAGACCTTGACAACAGCCAAAGTTATGTCTGAAATTTATATATGCCAGTCAGACTGACTCGAGCAGTAGCACACTAGAGTCCAAGAACTATCCATAAATTCTTTCCTGGGGATTACAAATCCCCCTGACATTTCACTTATCTTTAGAATAAAGTTCTCCTGGTGTTTTTATTTATATCTAGATATAGAGGCACCCTAACAGTCTTATTTTCTTCTGGTGTTTGCCTGGCACCATCTACCAACACTGAAATAGTTCACCTGGGGTTGAGACTGAACGTGTTGAGGTCAGTTCGGGCCCCAGGCTGGCTTCTCCTAATCAGCTGTGGTTCCCAGTCCTCAGAACGCTGAACCAAGAGCTCACGGGACTACAGGACTCCTCCCCAGAGAACCCTGGGATCGTTAGTGTCAGAGTAGATTGGAGCCAGGTTGCCTTTCCCAAACCATGGCAGCTAGGACTTGAGTGCAAAAGATCGTGTCAGGGTATCTGGAAAGATTGCTTAGGATTTGAATTCAAGTTAGCAGGCTAACTGGGGTTAAAATAATCCTCTCTCTTGGAGCTCCCGTGGTACTCTTGATCTCAGGGTCATGAGCCCAAGCCCCACAATGGGTGTCGAGATTATGTTAAAGAATAAAAATAAAAAATAAATAGTCACGTCTCTCGTTAATATTCACAAACATAACCTATTCTGTTATTCCCATCTAATTAAGTCACTAAGGAGAGGAAGAATAGATTTGTAGATAAGGTGTGGGTCCTTGAATCCTACCCACTCATCCTCCTTCCCCTCACTGTTACCTGCTGAGTGAGTTGTGCAAAAGAAACAGCCCTGCTGGAAGCCCAGTAAGGCCAGGCATGTGCTGCATGCCCACCACACAACTGCAGGGCTTCTCAGAGAAGTGGGACTGGTGTCCTCTACAGGCTTGGATCTGGAAGCCTCACTGGGCTTCCCACTCATCTCTCTCAAATCTACCAGCTCTACTCAAACAGAGAGAAGATCTGTAGAAGATCAGAGAAGATCAAACAGAGAGAAGGTAGAGAAGCATCCCCTTATGGAGAGGCCTTGCCAAGTGTGCTTTCAACTTGGAGGCTAGAGATGAAAGAGGAAGGGGGCAGTGAGCATGGGGACAGATAGGAGAAAGTGAGGCCTGGGTCCTGCCTTTCAGGCACAGTCACTTGCCGGCTGCTAGTAAACCCTGCCACCTGAGTCAGGCCCTGCGAGGCCAATGACTGGATCATTTCCTAGCATATGTGTACGTAGGGAAGGAGGAAGCAATGGACAGAAGAACCAGAGTATGGACGCAACTTCTCCTTTATGAACCAGAGCAAAAAAATGGCATGAGCTGAGAGGTGGTCTCTCCAAGAGGACAGTTTCAAAAGTAAAAGAGGAGTACCATAATGAATATATTTTCCTGTGTATGGGGTCATTTTCCCTTGGCTAAACTTTTAAAGCGATCAACTCAGGGAGCCTCTCATTTGGCATACTTTCCTAGGCACTGGATGTCTGTCCTGTGTAATCCTGATAGAGACTCTGCGATATAGGTTATTAGCCCCCATTTCTGATCCAGGAAACTGAAGCCCAGCGACATTAACCAACTTGCCCAAAGTCCCGCACAGCAAATAGAGCCAGGATCTGAATTCCGTGCTCTTTCTGCTCTATCACAAGTAAAGTTCTTTCCCTCTGTATTCTTTAAAAATAAATGTGTTTTTGGATATTAGGTTAATATAAATACAGTTCTAGAAAATTTGGGAAATGAGAAATTATAGAAGTGTGAGGGAAATAGGGGCACCTGGGTGGCTCAGTCAGTTAAGCATCTAACTCTTGGTTTCAGCTCAGGTCATGATCTCATGGTTGTCGGACCGAGCCACATGCTGGGCTCCGTGCTCAGTGCGGAGTCTGCTTCAGATTCTTTCTCCCTCCCTCTTCATCTCCCCCTTCTTCACTTGAGTGCTCTCTCACTCTCAAATAAATAAAAATGTTAAAAAACAAAAACAAAAACAAGAAGTGTAAGAAAAATAAAAACCAGTCATGATCTTGCCACCTAGAAACAACCACTATTAAAATTTTGGTATATTTCTTTCTCAGTCTTTCTCAGTACATCCAGTGATAATGAAAGGAAACATTTGTTGAGCACTGGCTTTGTCTCAGACATTGTTCTTCGCTCCTTTCTTGCGTCATTTATTTTATTCTCACAACAAATCAATAAGGTGGGTACCATTATTATCCTAATTTCATTGGTAAAGACAATAAGGACGAAGATGTTAAGTAACTTGGTAGAGGCTACACAGGTATTAAGTGATCTGAAACCCAGGCTGGTTGCTTTACAGCAGGGTTTCTCAACCTTAGCACTGTGGGTATTTGGGGCCAGCTACATCTGTGTGGTGGCGGGCTGTCCGACTTTATTGTAGATGGTTAGCAGCGTCCCTGGCCTCTACCTACTGGATGTCAGTAACACCCCCTCCCCCAGGTGTAACATCAAGAATGTCTTCAGACATTGCCACATGTCCCCTGGGAGGCAAAATGACTTATGAACCACAGCTCTAAGAGCCCATGCTCCCAATCACTGCATTACATAGCCTTTTCGTATTTAAAATCTGCAAAAAGTTATTTTCTTCCACATCTAAAGAAGGAAACATACCTTCAAGTTTGGGTGCAGCCTGTGAAACCTTCTGGAATATCAGTAGCCTTATAGATCATAGGTAGGAGATTAGTCACTTCCAGAAAAATGCTCCTTAGTAGACTTTTATAATAGGTTTATAGTATCCCACCATTGCCCAGTTGGAAAAATAACCGTATTTCTGTCTCTTACAGTCTTTTCCCCGGTTCTCTGTGACAGGCACCCTTAGCCTTCAAGAATTCAGATTTCAGGGACACCAGGGTGGCTCAGTTGGTTAAGTGTCTGACTCTTGATTTCGGCTCAAGTCATGATCTCAG